CACTCATGCTCATTCATGCTCAGCTAAACGAATATTCAGATGCACTCATCTTCAGAAACGCTCACACTCCGACTCACTTGTCACACTCAGACTCATACAGGCGCATAGTAGCTCACACTCAGACTCACTTACTATCCGACTCACTCTCACAGACCACTCACACAGACCACCCACACTCAGGCTCGCTTCGCGCTCAACTTGTACGGATGTCTCGAACGAGGCGCTGGCTTCAACACCCCAAGGGGGGGGGCGCCAGAGGGTATTGTACGGGCCCGTTCGCGCCCAGACTGTGGGGATGCCTCAGGCGGTTTGCATCTTTGGTGGCGTGGATTCCTCTACTTCCAGAGCAGATGCTGAGGATGTCGCGCCCAAAAATACGGGGATGTCTCATGCGGTCTGCACTTTTGGGTGGCGTGGGCCTCTTTCCTTTCCGAGCAGATGGTGAGGATGTCTCGTGCCAGGCGCTGGCTTCAGCACCCCAGAGGAGAGCCGCGAGAGGGGGCGTTGCACGGGCCCGCTCGCGCCCGGATGCTGGGGATACCTCGGGCGGCCGTCCCGCGCGGCGTGCTTCTTTGGTCGCTTGGAGCTTGGCCCTTTCGGAACAGGCTGTGGGGGGTGTCTCGGGCGAGGTGCTGGTCTACGGTAGGTTTGCGTCGTGTCGACCAGCGGCGACCCCAGCGCGGGCGTTCAAGGTTGAACGCCGCTGGCGACCCAGAATCGATCGATGTTGAACGATCGGACGTTGCGGCAGCGGCCGATCGTTCAAGGTTGAACGATCCCTGCGGTGTCAAAAACCAACGCTGGGGTCGGCACGACACGAACCTGCCGTAAGCATCCCAATGGAGGAGCCGTCAGGGGTGGCCGCACGGGCCCGTTCGCGCCCAGGTGATGGGGATGTGCCAGGCGGTGGTCCGGTGCGGCGTGCTTGTTTGGTCGCTCGGAGCTCTGCCCTTCCAGGACGGGTTGTGAGGATGTCTCGAGCGAGGTGCTGGCTTCAGCACCCCCATGGAGGAGCCGCCAGGGGGCGTTGCACGGGCCCGTTCGCGGCCAGACTGCATGTAGGGCTGCCTCGGTCGAGGCGATGGTTTCGTGGCTGGGACCCCTCTGCTTTCAGAGCAGATCGTGAGGATGCCTCGGGCGATTCCGACCGACCCTTCTCCAACGTAATTAGGTAGCAGGCATAGCATCTGGGCTCTCCAACGAGAAGCCACCAGAGACAGCTATGCCGCCGCAGGCCACGATTCTCTCACCCAGACACCCACAGGCGGAAGCGTCAGGAACCGAGATGCACAGATTCGGCTCTTCTCGTCGGGTACGTCTTGGGACGCCTCTCCTATCCATCTCTCCTCCATGTCCTCTGTCGCACCCAGGCTCGCTCGCGCTTGGATTATCCGCTCACAATCAGACTTACTCAGATTCAGTTTCACTTTCAGGCTCACACACTCACACTCAGGCTCAACCCTCATACACCTCTCACACCCAGGCTCGCCTCGCACTCAACTTGTGAGGATGTCCCGGGCGAGGCGCTGTTCCCTCAGGGGGGCGGGGGGGGGGCCCGGGTGTGTTGAAGGGGCCCGTTCGCGCCAAGATCGTGGGGTGTCTCAATCGGTTTGCCTGTCTGGTGGCGTGAACCTTTACTTCCAGAGCACGTCGTGAGGGCCTCGGGCAAGTCCGACCGACCACTCCCTTTCAGAGCCCCAAGGACATCCCGATGTAATAGGCATGGCATATGGGCACTCCCAACCCCCCAATGGGAGCCACCAGATACCACTAAGTCGCCACAGGCTAACTTCCTCCAACTTAGACGCAGACGGAAACGCCAGGAATTGCGATGCACGTGTGGGGGCTTTGTTACCAACCATCTTGCCACCTGTTGAAGAGACAGTGCCCCGCGTTCCTTTTTCTCCTTCTCCTCCTCGCCCCTCCGCCCCATTCTCCTTCCCACTCCACTCATAAGTTTCGTGACCCCATAGGGAGCTCCACTGAAGGCCCCAGTGGCTGTGACCACATGCGCCCCCGCTACTTATTTCGGCGCTCCGTGGCCCCATAGGGAGCTCCACCGAAGGCCCCAGTGGCTGCGACCACCTGTGTCCCCGCCACCAATTTCGGCACACCCATCACACGCTTCCCACCCATGTCGGCACACCCCTTACACGTTTCGTGACCCCATAGGGAGCCCCACCCGCAGTGGATTTGACCACTTGCGCTCCCGCCGCCCATTTCGGCATACCCCTCACTCGCTTCGTGGCCCCGTAGGGAGCTCCACCGAAGGCCACAGTGGTTGACCACATGAGCCCCCGCCACCCATTTCGGCACACCCCTCACACGTTGCGTGGCCCCATGTGGAGCGACAACCGAAAGCCCCAGTAATTGTGACCACATGCGTCCCCGCCACTCATGCGGGCGCACTCCCCACACGTTTCGTGGCCCCAGAGGGAGCTCAACCGAAGGCTCCAGTGGTTGTGACCACATGCGCCCCCACCGCTGATTTCGGTACACGCTTCGTGGCCCCATAGGGGGCTCCACCGAAGGCTGCAGCGGCGTTGCCCACATGTGTCCCCGCCACGCATTTCGGCACACACACACACCTCGCACGCTTCGTCGCTGTGTGGGGAGCGCCACCGAAAGCCCCAGTGGCTGTGACCACATGCGACCCCGCCACCTATTCCTTCGTACCCCTCACACGTTTCATGGGGAGCTCCACCGAATGCCCCAGTGGCTGTGACCACATGTGTCCCCGCCACCAATTTCGGCACACCCCTCACACGTTTCATGGCCCCCCATAGGAAACCCCGCCGCGTTTCTTCCATCAATTTCCGCACACCCCTTACACGTTTCGTGGCCCCATAGGGAGCACCACCGAAAGCCCCAGCGGCGATGACCACATGCGTCCCCGCCACCCATCACACGTTTCGTAACCCCAGAGGGAGCCCTACGGGAGGCCGCAGTGGCTTTGAGCACGTGCGCCCCCGCCGCCAATTTCGGCACATTCCTTACACGTTTCGTTGCTTCATGGGGAGCTTCAGCGAAGAGGATTCGCACCACTGCGGTATTCACAACTGTGTATGTGTGGGCCCTCCGCCAGGATAATCCTCGAGTGAGGATGAGTGTGACGCCTCCGCCTCCTCGTTCTCCAGTTTTCTGTCTTCCACGCCCAGATTCAGTCATACTCAGACTCGCTGACACTCAGACCCCAGTCACACTCAGATCCGTTCAGGCTCAGGCTCTTTGATTGATCCATGTATATGGCGCCGTCCATCTCTCTCGCGTCACAAGGGCTCGGAGCGGCGGTCATGACCGACGTGGGGTCACACAGCCAAATTGGGTCACGGTGCTACCACGGGGTCACATCAGCCCCGATGGGATCCCGATAGGGTTCACGCATCATGCCCGCCAACACGTGTGTGTGTGTGTGTGATTGCCGCAAGTTGAGTGGACGCGGTCATATTCAGACTCACTGCCAATCAGACGCACTCGCACTCTGGCTCGTTCTCAGTAAGGTTACGCATGCTCAGGCCACACACGCACACCCGAATCCACCTATACCCAGACCTTTTCATACTCAGTGTCAATTTGAGACTCAGCCCACTCAAAGTGCGATCGAGGGGGGGGGAAACGCTATGAAGCAAAGAGATCCTCAGGGAAACGGTTCTTGAAGGTTGTTCGTCTCAGCTGGGGCCCTCGAGGCCCCACAGGCCCGGCGGGACCGGTGAAGGACTACTCAGGATGACGAGATGGTCCAAGGGGAACGCCCCGAGTCCAGGACCCGTTTCTCTCAGGACTCGTTCGGCCCCCGCCCCACAGATCATTCCGACCCCATTTTTGGCGTTTGCCAAACAGTCTTTGGCGTTTGCCGAGCAGTCATAGCCTACAGTCGGGGCCCTGAAGAAGGAGTCCTTTTCGTTGGGGAGGGGCTCCGCGTTCCTTAAGTGTTTCACAGCTTGCCTCAGGTTCTCCTTATGTTTTCGATCGGAAATCGGAGTTTAACTCATGGAAAAAGGGGCCTCGTTCCTTATTTAGGGTTCCTTAGGTCAACGCCCCGACTGTACGACCGGAGCGACCCTATCTTCCTGCTGCATGTTTCGGGCCCGACCGGTCTGCGGTGGTTTCGGGGACCGAAGCGGGGCGAACACGCGCAGTGTGGAAGAGTTGCAACGCCCGCATCTGAGGGCTCGCTGGGCGTCGCTTGCTGAAGGGTCGGGGGTGGACAGACCTCCTACCCTGACACGTCGATTAAGGAACTGGCCGCTTTCGGTTAGCAAGAGGGCGTCGCGGCCGTCATTTTTGCGGGTCCAGGTCCGTCGGTTTCGGTCCCAGGCAGTTTTCATTAAGGGGAGGTTCACTAAAGGGAGGTTTGTCCACCGCCGAATGGGGCGCTTCGTTGTGAGGGTGGCTATTGTGCCCCATCTTCTGCCCCCCTACGCGAGGGCGGCTCTGCTGCCCTCGATCGACTGCCCAGGACGACGAGTCAGTCCTGGGGGAGGAGGAGGAGGAGGAGGAGGAGGAGGAAGAGGAGGAGGAGGAGGAGGAGGAGGAGGAGGAGGAGGAGGAGGAGGAGGAGGAGGAGGAGGAGGAGGAGGAGGAGGAGGGGGACGACGCCCGCTGAACTCACGCAAGGGCAGGCACACCCCGACCCCACAACTTGGGCTTACGAAGCAGGCAGGCTTGAGCGTTTGCTGGGCAGCCCTGGCCTATACTCGCCGAGGGGCCTCGTTTGCGGGTGCTCAGGGACCAGGCACCGCGCTGTTTAGCCTGGTGTTGGCTTTTGTTTTGGTGTTCGTCTCGTTTTTCGTCGTTGTTCTGTGTTGTGGTTCGATTGCGTTTGGCGCCAGTCTCACTCGAAACGCTCGTTTGAAACGCTCGGCTTCGTGTCGGCGTTTCGTTCCAAGCGCCAACGAGTCTTAAACATGGTTGTCCTCGATCGCCGTGGGTGTTCTCATTGTGACAGTGGCCCTGATGCCCCCTCCTGGCCAGGGCACGGCGCGCCGGGGCCGCGGCAGGGGAAGGTCGCCGGCCGCCAGCTCACGCGGGGGCGGCTCACGCGGTACGAGCACAGTCTGGACTTCCCGCCGCCCGGGGTCGGGCGCGACGCCGGCGCGTGCGCCGAATGGTCCTCGAAGAAGTGTGAAAGCCGCATGAACTTGGTAGCATTATCTTGGGAGCATTGTGCAATCTCTTACTCCCGTCTTTAGGGTCGACTAGCACCGCATCGCGTTTTGTGATCGATGGGATAACGCCGATGCTGCGTCGATTAGCGCCGACTCAGCGTCGATTGACGTCCATTCGCAAAAGCCAGCAAGATGGTGTTGGAAGCACTCATGAGTTGCCACCAGAGTAGAAGCATTAGCTCTCGGAGCTCCCCTGAGATCCCAGCGTTGCATTCTTTGTCCACCCGACGTTTGCGCCCTGTTGCGGGCCCTGGGACCTAGAGGGCTCCAGTCGTGATTTGTCGTGGTGCTGCAGTCTGTTTTGCAACGTCAGATGTCAGGGTCGGAGCGAACCATTCTCTTGGATCGGCGTCCAGGCCTCCCTGGCGGCGCCTCCGGTGCCGCCTCCGCCCGCCAGGGAAGGGGGGGCCCCAGCGCCGAGCTCCAGTGCGTGCCTTCTCTTTTTTTTCTCCTGGGAGTGTGGTGTCATTGAGATCCTAGCAAGTTCAGTGGCATGGCAATTCCCCCCCCCCCGCCCTCGCCCTCCCCCCCTGCCCCATGCTGGGCCGAAAAAAGGCTCGCAAGAGTCCGGTCCCGAGGTGCAGTGGAAGCCCACACACACACTGTTTTAGGGCCCCGCTACGCTACGCTGCACCCCCTCCCCCCGTACAACAACTGGTCGGAGGAGAGCGTGGCGCGGCGGGCGTGCCACCGCCGCCCAGGGGTCGCTCCTCTCCCGCTGTGGGTCCTCGGCGGCGGTGGTCCACGTGTCTCCTCTGGTGTAGCCCCAGGAAGCAGTTAAGAACCCCCCCGGCGATATCGTAGCACCGCATTTTTTATTCGCTATCCCGAGGGGCCGAAATCACCGAACGATAGCTTCAGCCCCCGGACACAAGGAGGGCTCCTGGTGCCAGGTAACGCTTCCAGGGTGCGGAAGGGTTATCGATTTGCCGAGGGGGGGGGGGGGGCGGCAGCCCAGAGAAGCGCGGCCTCCAGGTTCAGGGAGGTCTTCTACGCCGTGCCGCCGCGGCCGGCCGACCCGAGCATGACGTGCCGCGAGGGGTTCCTCTACTCCCTGTCGGCCGCCGGGTACGTGTCCGAGCGGCGCGCGGGTCGGCTCACGTGCGAGGAGTACGCGGCAGCCCTCGTGAAGCGCGCGCGCTACTACAGGTACATGAACCAGTGGATATACGTTGGAGCCGGTTGGGGGGCCGAGGTGGCTCAGCGCTGGTTCCGGCCAGCAGAAAGGGGAGAAGAAAGGACCCACAGCGTCGCCACGGTTGGACGCAGCTCGAAAACTTATCAGCTTCGACCCCAAGTCGGTTTGCCTTCGTCCCCCTTCTGGGCCCTTCTTTTTTTGACTTACCAGCTCAGACCCCCCGGCCGCTTCCAAGATGTACAGCTCTTATGCCCTGCTGGACCAGGCCGTCGAGTCTGCCAGGGAGATGGACCAGAAGGCCGCGGCCAGCGGCGTCGAGGCGATCGCGCCACTCTACGGCCTGCCGGTTCCCATGAAGGGGACGGCGGCCGTGGTTCAGTACCCCTCGGGCGCGGGATGCGGCGTCCTCTCCGGCTACGCCCCCGTGAAGGACTCGGCCTTCACGGCCCTGATCAGGGAGAGGAGCTCCATGACTCCAAGATGGGGTCAGAGCAGAAGGAGCCGGAGGATCGTGGTGCATCGCCGATGCATCGGCGATGCGGCTCGTTGTGGAGCCCGAGGTCCTCCACGTCAACGTCGCCGATGTATCGCCGACGTCGCCGATGCAGGACCGATGCATCGCCGAAGCATCGGCGATGCAGCGCGATCCTCCGACCCCATCTGCTCGGACCGACTTGGGAGGCCTCCCTAGGAACGGCATTATATTCGGCGCCACGAACGTGCCAGAGTTTGCCTTCTCGTACCGCACCGCCAACCCGGCGAGCGGCCACACCCGAAACCCGTACGGCCCCAAGCTCACCGTCGGCGGCAGCTCGGGCGGCGCGGCTTCGGCGGTCGCCGCGTACATGTGCCCAGTGGCGGTGACCGAGGATAGGGGAGCGATCAATTGCAACAATACAGAACATCGGAGGTTCCGCGCGGATTTCTCGGATCGGCGATGGACCCCGCCAGAGGGCCCCAGCGCTGATCCGAGAAGTCCGCGCGGACCTCCGAGTTTTAATGCTGATGTCATGGATCGTTCCCCAAGAGGACACTGGCGGGAGCACGAGGGTGCCCGCCACCTGCAACCAGAACTTCTCGGGGGACGTCAATCCTGACCTTCAGGAGGATTAAACAATTGCAACAGGACCTTCACATCTGACGTCATGTCGAGACTTTAAGCAGTCCAGATAGGTCGATATCGGCTTGACCCAGAAGGGGGGCCAGCTGAAAGGGGTTGTGCAATAGATTTGGTGCAACAGATTTGTGGGGTTGCAAAAGCAGCGTTCAATACATTATGGTGCGCAAATGTATTGCTGCATTTTCGCGTGCAACACATTTCATACAATACAATGCAATCCGCGTCTCCGGCGCAACACATTTGCAATCCAATGGCCCCAAACCTATTGCACCACCCTTTCTCAGCTGGACCCCTTTGTCAACCAAGCTATAGGTCTGGAGGTTTTCTGTTTGGCACTCTGGAAGGTCCAGGAACCGACCACCTTCCCGGTCCTGGCCGGGCCGACGTCTTGGGCCCCTATGGTCTAGGCCTCCTAGATGGGGTCCGAGTAGATGGGGTCGGAGGATCGCTCCGCATCGCCGATGCAACGGCGATGCGGCTCGATGTGGAGCCCGATTTTCTCCACGCCGACGACGCCGATGCGTCGCTGTTGCCTCGCCGATGCATCGGCGATGCATCACCGATGCGCCGCCGATGTATCGGCGATGCGGCGCGATCCTCCGACCCCATCTACCACCACCCACCAAACCACCCCAGCCCAACCCGAAGGCCTCAATTTGCCCTCCACTTCCAGTGTGGGGGGGTCCGGGAACATCGAAAAAACACACATGGAGCCCATACCCCCCCCCAACCCGAAATTCGGGTCTTCGGGTTGGGTTGGGGTGGTCTGGTAGGTAGTCAATCCACTCCGACCCCATCTAGGAGGCCTCTATGCGGGTGGGCGGCTGCGCCTCCCCGTGGCCGGGGCAGGAGGGCGTGCGTAATTACACGGCGAGCCCAGGCCCAGAGTGGGGCGCCCGGCAAGGATCGGTGCGTCGGGGGCGGCAGAGGAGGAGGGAGGAGGAGGAGGAGGAGGAGGAGGAGGAGGAGGAGGAGGAGCAGGAAGTGAGGAGGAGGAGGAGGAGGAGGAGGAGGAGGAGGAGCAGGAAGATGAGGAGGAGGAGGAGGAGGAGGAGGAGGAGGCGGAGGAGGAGGAGGAGAGGGGCATGAAAAGGAGGAGGAGGAGGAGGAGGAGGGGGAGGAGGGGGGTGGTGACCAGGGGGGGGTGGATGTCTTGGCGGGGGCCATGATATTTCCCGAGATTTCAGGGCGCCTCTTCTTGCTTCATTACGTCCCTGGTCCCCCCGCTCTTAGACACCCCCCTCTTGGACACCCTCCTCTTGGACACCCCCCGGTCATGAGTTGCACCCCCCCCCCCTTGGACACCCCCCTCTTGGCCGCTCCCGAGAAGTGGGTGATGACTAGGTGGGAGGATGCCCTGACCTTCCAGGGGGGCTCAAGGGCAGCACCAGGACCTTGACGTCTGAAGTCCTGTCGAGGCCTCAGGCAGTCCAGGTAGGTCTATGGGTCTGGAGGGCTATTCTTCACACTCTGGAAGGTCAGGGAAGAGGGGACTGATGACTAAGGGGGGGGATACCATGGCGGGGGCCATGATATCTTCCAGATTTCATGGCGCCTCCTCTTATTTTAATATGTCCTGGGCCGCGCACATGCCGCCGGCCATGATTTGCGCCCCCACCTCTTGGACGCCCCCTCTTGGCCGCCCCCGGGTGTGGTGGTCAGCTGGTGTCCCCCGCCCTTCGGCTTCGACCCGAGCCGGAACCACTTCCCGAACGCGGGCAATCCAGGCCTGACGTACTTTGCTGGTGGCGTGCACGCAGAGGGGGTGGCGCGTGGGGGGCGGCTTTTCTGAGGAGGCGGGGGAGGCTTCTGAAAGGCGGGCGGGCTGCTGGAAGCCCTCCCGGCCTCCTCCAAGCCATAGGGCTAGCCAGGCGCCTCTAGTGAAGCCCCTGCCTTCCGAAGGCAAGGCAGGCGGGCTGCTGCTGGAAGCCTTCCCAGCCTCTGAGAAGCCATGGGACCTTTCGGGCGCTTCCAGGGAAGCCCCTGCCTGCCATGACCCCCCCCCCGCCCCCCCGCCTCCTCAGAGAAGACCGCCGCCTATCGCACCCCTCCCTGGTGCGCGCCGCCAGACTTCTGCGACCAGCTTGGTCTGAACGCCAGGAGCATCGAGGACTCGAAGAGTAACAGTCGCCATAAGCATACACATGATCTCGATTGTCTGCACGGATTTTTTGCATCGGCGCTGGACCCCCAGGGGGCAAGGGCGGGGCCCAGCGCCGATCCGAGAGATCCGCGCGGATCGCCGAGAGTCGATGCCTGTGCCGTCCTCTGTTCGCCGAAGGACATCATACTTCTTGACGCCGCCCTGGGGGAGAGCGGGCGACCGGCCAGGCACTCGGGAGGGAACAGGGGTATCATAGTATCACGTACACGCCGGCGTTGGAAGCCCAGCGCCGTGTTATTGATCTTGCTTCTGCCCAGAAGCTTGGAAGCGGCCATCTGTGCTGGATGGGCCCCGAGGGGGGGACGAGGGCAACTCCGCCCCAAATCGGGACGAGGGGGGGACGAGGGCAACTCCGCCCCGAGGGGGGGACGAGGGCAAATTTTCGAGTTCTTCGAGCCGCGCCCATCCGTGGAAGCCAGGGGGGCCCTTGCTCCCCCCTGCTGCCGGCCTGTGGTGGGCCACCTCCGCCCCCCAGCCAGCTCCCACCAACGAAAACGGTGTGTTTCTTCAGCAGCACCATGGTGATGGGGTCCCCACGGCGGCGTTCCATCGATGTTCCAAGAGCCCCGACGTCCTTTTTTTTTTCCATCGGGGAAGAAAAAGTTAAACATAAAAACTCGGAGGTCCGCGCGGATTTCTCGCATCGGCGCTGGGGCCCCCCGGCGGCGCCTCCGGCGCCGCCCCTGGCGCGCTCCGCGCGCCAGGGAGGGGGGGTCAGCGCGGATCCGAGAAATCCGCGCGGACCTCCGAGTTTTTATGTGTATGCCACTTTTCGTCGTTCCCTTCCCAGAGGTCCCTAGGATCTTAAATTAAGAGCAGCGTGTTCTAGAGTGCTAACGTATGCGAAGATCTATAATCATATGTGTTAGTGTCTTAATTCGTGTCAGATCTTAAAACCGTATACGGATCTTAAATGTGCATGTAAAACGAGCCTTGTGATTTTGGAACTTGGGTAAATACGCGCGTGTCCGCTATATATCCGCAATGGCGAGAGCACGCATCGATTGAAGCAATATTGTGTTGCGTTGAGGCGAGAGCATCATTCGAATATCGGAACGTCAGCGTTTTTCTGTGACCCATCGAAACGCGTCGATCTCTTGGCAAACGAATCGGCGATGAACTACACTCTGAGACTGGGGCGCTGGCACGAGTGATGCGCGGCAGGGGGGAAGGGAGCAGAGGACAGCGAAAACGTGAGAACAGCGGTTGCCAGATCGCCACCCGTGCTGTCGGGTGTTCTCTCCACCGCGTCGGCGTCGCCCCCGTTGTGATATGCACAATCCTCTCTCCCTCACCTTTGTCCCTCCCGTTCCCTCCTCCTCCTCTTCTTCTTCCTCACCTCCTCCTCCTCCTCCTCCTCCTCCTCCTCCTCCTCCTCCTCATCCTCACCCCTCTCCTCCTGTGCTTCCGTACGTGTCGTCTCAGTGTTTCCCTTTTTCCTCTCCGTCTCGCGTTCCCTCTTTATTTCGCTCTCCTTTCGCTCTCCCTCTCGCTCTCGCTCTCGCTCTCTCTCTTTTTCTCTCTCTCTCTCTCTCTCTCTCTTGCTATGTCCCTCCCTCTCCCTCCCTCCCTCCCTCCTCTCCCTCCCTCCCTCTCCCTCCCTCCCTCTCCCTCCCTTCTCTCCCCCCCTCCCTCCCTCCTTCCCTCTCTCTTTCGTACTGTTCTTGTGCACTGGCAGTTGCGATTGCCGCGTGGCACCATGATGCCACCAGTTAGGTGCGAGATCGCACCATCAAACAATTCAAAGTTGCGCAGCTCAAAGCCACGAGTCATCACTGAAGCCCACTGCCGTGACACACAGCGCAGGCAGCACGTCTGGCGCTGAAGCCAATCAAATCACACAACTCACCGAAACTCACTGACAAGTCACCGCAAACTCACCGCCCCTCCTGCCTTCCACCCCGTAGTCAGCCATCGCTACCCATGTCCACCCTGAGTCCCACTACCCATCCCTCCGCATGTAAGTCTGAGGCACGTGCCTCCACTACGCAGAATCGGTGAAGGGCGGCTGCGTATCTGAATAGTCATAGCCGTCCCCTGAAAAGGCCAACGCTGTAGCGAGGGCGGCAGCTGTCAGATTCTGGGTCTCGGACTGGTCATCCTGCGAATCAATCTCGACAAGAGTCTCGACAAGAGGCGGAATCGTAGGCGCCTCCTGTTCACCCTTCGGGCCGCTGGGTCCCGAGAGTTTTGACAGCCATGCACTAGCGGGCAATGGGCGGCTGCTTGAGGGCGCTGCTGAGGATGATGCCCCTGGCTGCGGCAGCTGCGGCTGCGGCTGCTTGTCATCCTCGGCCTTTTCGGACACTGCGCCTTCTGGGTTTCGATGGGCTAGGGGGAGCGTCTCCGAGCATGAAAACTCACTTGCCAAAACGTCAGGGGCTTTCTGATTTTTTCGGAAATATGCCTGGACCCACGTGTGTTCACATGCCCCCTCGAATTCAACCCCCCAAGACCTTTTGGCGCGACTTCCTGCTCGGTGCGCTGCTTCTTGCTCTGCGCAGTTACCACCTCAGCCTTCGCCGCGGACCTCTTCTTCTCCTCAGGCTCATCCTTGTCGGCGTCCTGGGCCCTGGCTGGCACCAACCGAACTTCCGCAGGGATGAGGAACCTGAATGATTTCTCACGCGGTATCCCTCCAATCTCCAGCGTGATTTTCAGATTCGGCTCGCCATCGAGAAGAGGATTGCGGGCAGACATATGGTTGGGAAAAACGCTCAAGTGCTGGATCGAACGATGTCTCTTGAAGTGAAACGCTTGGGCCGACAATGCAACTGCGGACGGAATCCAGGCCATCGTGGGCCATGCCCTTAGACCCCCTTGCCTAACTACGAACCGGCGCTGCTGAAGAATAGCACCTCTCCCAAGACAGCCCTTACTACCCAAGACAGCCCTTACTACCCAAGACAGCCCTTACTACCCAAGACAGCCCTTACTACCCAAGACAGCCCTTGCTACCCAAGACAGCCCTTACTACCCAAGACAGCCCTTACTACCCAAGACAGCCCTTACTACCCAAGACACCCCTTACTATAGTAATTATGATACGTGCGTTGTTGTGTGCGGAGGGTCGGCTTCGCAGTGCACTCATTAGCTACGGTCTGCATCGAGCTTGGCTAAGACAGCACACTTAAACAGTGCAACGCAACATGCGTGTGGATATGCAGCACTTTCTTTCAGTGCAGCATGCTTGCCATTGACCCAGCCTCGCCTTACTCGAGTGAGCCTGCCCTTGGCGGATCGCCCCTTAGCAGGGCGCTTGCACTTGCGTTGAATGTGCAGCTTCAGCCACTGCAGTGGGAGACTACTGTAAAATTCTAAAGGTTTGTCGGTCCTGGAGCCAAACGCCCACATCCCAGCAAGAACCCTAGACGCGTTGGCTACACAAATGCTGTGTGCTACCCATGGCACGCTAAACAACAAGCTATTTATAGGTTGCTCCAGCATGAAATGGGTTCCCCTGCACGCGCACGCATGGATGAGAAAGGCTAGAATCACTGAAGTGTAGTTGGCATCATCGTTCAACTGGTGCGAGTTGCCGAGGATGCTGAATTCGCCAAGTTTCCGCTTGAAGATGCAACGATTTAGGAATGGCAGCCACGTCTTGCATTCAGGTGAGAAGTGTACGAGGCCATCGCAGGAGAGGACCAGGTAAAGGGCGTAGACTGCTCCGCACAATGTCAAGATGTCTTCGTTCATATCATCCTGAATGTCGAACGTCGCCGCGTTGTGGCCCTGCTGGGCCGAGTGTTCCGCGGCGACACCTTCTGGGGTTTGGGGCAAGAGCCAAGCATCGACTACCAGTAGAGGGAACCATGCTGACGGTGTGGGACATTTAGTGGCCAGGACCTTTACCCGAGAAGATCAGGACGAGAGTGAACCGCGCCCCGAGGAAGGACAACTCGGACCCTATCCACGCGCCCCAGAACTGATCCAGCAATTGCAGGACGTCCACTGCCTGGAACGCCTTTCAAGAGCATCAACGTTCCAACCTTGTCCCCTACCCCTAAACTCAACCCAATCAGAGTTCCCAGTGCCTGTCTACTTGGGCCCCCTCCCCAGAACGCTCTCCCACCCCATCAACTCACTGCAACCCGCCAGCCCATCCACTCCTCACTCATTTGCTTACGGTGCACCCTCGGTTCATGCGCAGCAGCTCGCGGGCGCCCCCGTGTGACAGCCAGGCGCTCTGCGTGATCAACGACGCATCGCGGTGCGGCTGCTCGATAGAGGCACGGGCTCGGCATCAAGTGCCAGGATCAGGCACGAAGATGTGGCTAGTGAGCCCAAGCTGAGATATCAAAGCAAACGTGTAGAATATACGACTCTCGAAAGTCATCTGATGACTGTGTTCAGCCGTGACCTTGAGAACCGAGTTCAACGACTCGTCTACCCACGTGGCGTAAAATACCGGGTTCCCATGGAAGTCGATCCTGATTTCAGGACAGCCAAACCACAGCGATAGCACGTTTATTGGCGAGCTTGGAGAAGCGGGGGAAAAGAGGGAGAAACAGTTCTCATTTTCTCTGTGGTTCCAGCTCCCCCGTCGGATGAACGCACTGGACATCGGCGCATCCTTTCCGAAGACAATCTGGAAAGGAAGGCACTGCCTAGATGTTTGGGGCTCGAAGGGTTTGCGATCAAGTGCACTCTGAGTTTTTGGGGGAGGTGGGGTCGGGAGGGAGGTCACCTTCGACGCAAACTGCAACGTAAAGCCCCAGAACTTTGCACAAGACCTGCCCCCCCGTCCTCTCGAAACCTTCTATCTGAAGCACAACCCTCAAAGAATTCCGAGCTGCATCCGTCCGTTTGCGACGTACAATGGCCCCATGCAAAATCTCCACATGAGCTCTCCACGAAGAAAGTTGCCCCCCCCCATCTGTCCTTTCCGCGAGGTGCGATGCGAAGTGGTGCTTGGGAACTTCTGCTACACGGGCCGCGTGCGATCGCACGAGGTGTAATTGCATCATGTCAAATAGTCCTTGCAACTCCCCCTCTGGCACTTTGAAGGGAAGCTCTTTCAGCTTCGAGAGAAAATCTGAGAGCGCCTTACCAGCAACGAACAAGTCCCGTCCATATGGCAAGCTGTCCTGGTGCGCTTCCACCAGGTGAACTGCGAATCGCATGATCACTAGTGTCTCACCGGCCTTGAAACGCATGACGCCAC